CTGAAACAGGACCCAAACAGCTGTCACTGGGTGCCCTGCTCTTGTGGAGTGATGTACTCCATGAAAGATGGGGCAGGAGCTAGGTTCAGGGCTTGAAGCCAAGGTCTATGGATGCTTTCTACAACTGCAAAGCAAAACTGATCCTAGTGGAAGGACTTGCAAAAGCAGGAGAGTGAAGACAGGGCTTAACCACAGGAAAGTGAAATAGCTGACCGCTGGCTCAGTGAGTGGATAAACAACAGCCCCAATGCCACCATGGGCTAGGAGTGTTCCCTCCCCAGGGATATAAGACCTGGCTGTGTTCAGTCCATGGGATGCACAGAACATGCAAAATCATTAATTCAATAAGTAGGAGAAGATAAACAAATAAATACTTCCCACTCAAAGCAAACTACAATTCAAAAGCCATAAAGATCAGTTAATAATAATAAAAAAGAGTAAAAAATTCAGGATGGAGATTCCTTTTTGTTTAATTCACTATAGATTCTGGATGAAATATTAATACATAAAAATCAATAGAGTTCTCAGTAATAGTGAACAAAACATAGAAAAAGGAAGCTAAAATATATATAGGGAATATATTTAACAAAATATGTATAAGGCTTCTATGCAAAAAGACATCAAGGCCTTATTGAAGGATTTATAAAAGACATGAATAAATAAAGACACCACCTTCTAAATGGAAAGATTCAACAGGATAATAGAAGTCATGCTCTCCAAATTTTCCCATAAATTTCATACGTTTTAATATCCTAACAGAGTTTTCTGTAGAATTCAATAGCTGTGCCTAAAGTTCATAACAAAGAACAAATATAGCCCAAGCAATTCTGAATAACATTGGGAGATTCCCCTTTCCAAGCATCAAGGGTTGTATGAAGCCACAATACTTTCTGTGGTAAAGGCAGAAGGACAGACAAACAGACCAGTGAAACAGAGTATAGAGCCAGACGCAAACCTACATGTACAGGTAAGAGTAAAACATGACACAGGTGGAATGACAGATGAGCAGGGAAACAACAGATTCCTGGGCGATCAGAACAGGGCAATTTAACTGCCCTACTCCATCCGTTCCCACACCATTTCCATACCCATCAGATTGGCAATAATTAGCACACTGTCAAGTACAGTGGGGATGTGAAGCAGAGACGACTCTCACATGGCAGGAGTGTAAGACTGGAAATACCGACCAAAATATACGTATATTCTAGAGAGACTGGGAAAAGTAAAACTTACTTTTAAAAGAAAATGTAAGAGATCACAGAGTGAAAGAATTCTCTTCAACAAGAGAATAAAAGCGATAATCATATAGACAGTAATATATTAAAGTAAATTAAAATTAAGACCTTTCTGGCCCTGGCTGGTGTAGCTCAGTGGAGTGAAGGCCTTCGAACCAAAGTATTCTGGTTTAATTCCCAGTCAGGGCACATGCCTGGGTTGCAGGCCAGTTCCCAGCAGGGGACGCACAAGAGGCAACCATACATTGATGTTTCTCTCCCTCCCTCCTTCCCTTCCCCTCTAAAAATAAATAAATAAAATCTTTAAAAAAAAAAGACCTTTCTGAATTACAAAGGAAAACATAAAGTAACAGAACAAAACCAATGTAGAGAAACAAATTTGCAACACAAGCCATTGGTATGGCATAAATATCAAGTGGTTGAGTGGATAAAGAAACTGTGGTACGTTTATACAATGGACTACTACACAGCTGGAAAAAGGGAAACCTCACCTTTCGAGGCAGCATAGATGGACCTGGGGTTTGGAGAACTGGATGTAAGAGGTGAAGGGATTAATTTTAAAAACATACATACACAACAGACAACAATGTAGTGAGAGCCAGAGGGGAAGGGGGTGGGGGTAGGGGGAGGTGGGCAAAGGGGAGAAAATGAGGAGGGAAGGAGACTTTGCTTTGGGCGATGGGCACAAGATGCAGTGTGCAGATGATGTTTTGTTGAGTTGTACACTTGAAACCTGTATGGTTTTGTGAACCAATGTCATGCCAATAAATTCGATTAAAAAAAATAGTCCAAGAGTAGAGAATGCACAAGTAAATAATAACATATTCCATGGAATTTACGCAGCAGTAAAAATAATGAGAGATACAAATACTATTAACATGTGAAAATCTCATAAAAATAATATTGAGCAAAAGAGCAAATTGCAATATGGTGCAAGTAGCTAACACTTCACTGACGGGTTAAAGACCCACAAAGCAGCGGTGCACATGACTATGCTGATGTCACACCTAGAAATGAAAACCAGTCGAATCAGAATCATCCTTAGCCCTGGGACAAAGGGTTGGGAAATGGAATCAGGAGTAAATACAGGGGGTTTCAACTATGTACATTTGTAAGATTTTAGAAAACATATAAATCCCAAGTAAATATGGCAAAACATTATTTTCAGAAATTGGATGTAACATTTGTTATGTTGAATTATTTTTAAAAATTATGGAAACACTTAAAGCAAAAATATCAGACATATAAAAACACTAATGCCACCCCAGAGAACATGAATACAATATAACTGTGAGTGAAAAAATTTTAGAGTATAAACTGCTTGATTTTAATGCCATGTCATAAACATGCATGAAAATATGAGAAACTGGTAGTTGGACATAATGACATAATGAGGCAATTTAATAACTGCCTTTGTTCTCCAAATTTTCTGAAATGAACACACATTACTTCAATAAGCAGAAAGAACATTTTAAACTTGAATTTACAACCCGCGCCTTACATTCAAAGAGGATTCCTGCCACAGACAGTTCGATGACACAAGGCTGGTGGGTCTTCCGGGCTCCAGGTAACGACTGGATTTCACTAGAATATTTTGTTGTTGTTGTTCGCACATTGCATATGCGAGTGTACTAATGGCTGCCTCCCGTCTTGGGTTAGTTCCCCAGAAAACAAGTTTACAAGCTGATTCTTCAGTGGTGGAATCCCAGGCTCAGGGAAGTTAGACCTGGAAGTGGGGGAACTCGATGCAAATCAGTTCATCACAGAGCTGGCCGTGATTTTGCAGACAGCACAGGTCGCTGTTTGGACTGTGGGATGTCCTTGGGCCGACCGTACACATCACCATATGTGGGGGAGCCCATTCAGGGGAGGATGATAGAGGAGTTTATTTGCTGGCTACATCCTTGATCAAAGTGTGCCCATGGCACATGAACTTCCTAGCCCTTCCACGTTCTGTCACCTGAAGCAGCCACATTCCAGTCCAGCGCTTCCTCTGGGTCCAGAATGGTGGGAGGAACTAGAGGTTTGATGGGCCGGGCGCAATGGGCTTTGAGTGCCAGGGTGCTTGTGGCTGCCTCCATGGCAGGCGTGAGAGGGCGCAGGAGCCAGCCCTCACCCGAGGGTGGCCAGGACTGCTGGGGTGGTGGGAGAGGCAGTGACTGGGCAGTGGCTAGGCCATGCATAAAGGAGCCGCGAGGCTGGTAGGCAGTGGATGCTGAGCCAATCTGGGGACCTGCAATTCACTGACTCAACACCACCAATCCCTGCACCGTTCAGACGTACTCACTTACTTCCTTGCGACCCAACCCTCTGATGCCGAGAACAGGATGCCCTCATTTTATTTTCCAAGAGGGGAAGCATCAGTTCAATGTGCCAGCAAACTGTGTTCTAAAAGAGAGTGACCCTGTTTTACACTTACATCCATTATACTTCCAGCCTTCTGACTGCTTTCTCAACTGGAGGCAAAGTATAAACATTTTGGCATTTCCATCTTGTCCACTGTCGGTCAACACCTGGGAACCATCCCAGGTGATCCTCAGACTGGCTCTCAACTGTCCTTACAGGAATATTAAATCCCACGTCACAGGTAAACGCCCGATGTCCTGAATTTCCCATATCCAGTCTTCTGTCCTGTTTGGTCTAACAACCTCATACGCCACCACGTAGGTTCCCCCACTTTTGCCAGTGGATACCAGTCACATCCTGTAATTCCCTTGGTATGTGGACTGTCCTTCCAAGATTGGGGTTTGTTAATCCCCAGGCTGGGCTGAGACTTGTCTCAATATCATGCAAAAAGTGGGTGGGGGCACATCTGCAGAATAACGTCATTTTGCAAAGCACCTGCACCAGGTGAAGTTGTTCTATGGAGTTCATGTGAAGAAAGTGCTGGAAAAGCACCTAGTTACTTTATTATACATCCATCCTCTACATTTCTTTGTCATCCAAGATCTTCATTACAAATGGAGATACAACTGTTGTACTTACTCAGCCATGTAATCCTTGACCAATTTGCTGCTAGTATATTTTGAGAAAGTAATCAGTATGCTTCCCATTTCTGTCTGCTCTCTTGGGCTTTCCTTTTGTTATGAAAGTTATAGGAAGAGAAAAAGCTTCCATCATTAAAAATGAAATGAAAATTTCCATATGCAGAACTTAGTAGCAGGGCAAAAGCATATTAAGAGGCTTGAGACTGTGATTAGGAGGAAGGTACAGCATCGCTCCACTCCTCTCCCCCAACGCCTCCCCGCTTCACCTTACTTACGGAGTCTGTATGGCAGAGGGGAAAGGGGCATGATCTGCCCCTGAGACGCCCCCCACCCCCACCCTGTGACAGGGCAGGGTGGCAAAGGGGCCTCTTCCTTTTCCGGCCGAGATCCCTAGGACCCACTGGTGGCACTTGGAGGGCAATGGTGAGTGCAGATGTGGTCATTTACTTATTGCTCTTATGGACATAGAGTAGTATTTCTACTGATGCACCAGGTAATCACAGAATAACTAAAGTCATTGAAAATGGGGAAGCTAGAGGCAATCATGTGAAGATGCAGGGTAATATTTAGTAAAAAGAGTAAAAACAAGTTCCTTAAATAAGATGTTCCAGAGGTAACGGGTGACCCTGAAAGGTAACACGAGACTTTGAGAGTCATGGTTATTAAAACTCTGTAACACATGTTTTAGCACATGGCAAGGGAAAAAGAAAAAAATCAATTCTAACGCAAACTCTAAAAATAATTAATAACCTTCAACACAAAGGCAAAAACACCACCATAGAATTTATTTTTACTTTATTAACAATGTGGCTTACAATTTTTCAAGTAAAAAGGGATTTTTCATTTAGATTAAAAATTAAAATATAACTCTGATATAGATTTTCATTTATTTACATGAAAACATATGTACAGAAGACAGTCTTACAAGAAACAAATGACATGCCCTCAGTCCCGCGCAGCTCAAAAGTAACACCCCCAAATTTTCCCTTTTATACACCAAAACATACACAAGATCTATGAATCAAATTTCAATACAAACTATTCAAATTGGAATGCAAAACAGTAAAAGGGCTTTTGACATTCACAAGTAGGGACAGTTTACACTTCCAGATATCATGCTAGCTCTCATTATGAACAGATGAGATGATTATTTTTCCTGTCATTAAAAAATGTGCCTCCAATTTCCCTTCATAAGGTGACTTTCAGTTTGTTCCCAAACTTTACTTTTTCTTTAATGCCTCCTTCTCCCCGTCTGAAGCACCACTCTGCTTGGTTATGTGACAAGACCAACACATTCACTGGTACCAAACCCTGGCCATTTGAAACAAAGGCAGTGAGATGGGGAGTCTGCAGCTCAGGACACTGGTCGAGTTGTTTATCAACCGAAAGCCAAGGCAGCACCAGGTGTCAGCAATTACAATGTTTAGGTCAACGAACTGGGGCAAAACAGCCCAACTCGATTTTATGGTATCATGTTTGGGATACTGGTAAACCAACTCTAGTGATAAAAGCTATGAGAATCAATCAACTTAAAAATTAGACCGAGTTAAAGGGAGTACAGGGATTTCTAGAAATCCCTTGAGCAGAAAAGAACAGGGACTAAATAAAAGAATCATTGGACTGTAATAATTGCTATTTAGTTATTGCACCAAAGCAACATGGGCAGAATGTTCACTCTCCAACAAGTTCATTCTTAAAAATGACCAATACCGTAATTTACAGTTTTTCCCTTCAAATAACTGCACACGCAACCACAGCTTTCTAAAGACAGAACAGGGCACTTGGAGCCTATATTCACAACCTTAACCAAAAGCAACAGTGATGCTCAGACCACGAGAGATTACAGCACGACCGTTTTCATAGTTCTATATACAGAAATGCCTGTGAATGGGTGTTCTACAAAAGAAGTATGAAATCCAATAGTGCGCCCACGACGAAGGGAGGAATGCTCTTAGCAAAGGCGACTGGTGCTAAAGGTAAAAGGCAAATCTCAGAGCCTGCCTGGTGCAACACTCAAAGTTCCACGAGATGAGTTAGGAAACTGAGACCAGTCTTGGAAGTCTGACCGAAGTCAACCTGGCAGAAAGCGCAGTAAGGGGCGGGGGTGGCAGTGTTAGTTTTGAGTCATTTTAATTTACCCAGGAACAAATCAAAGCAAACCCAGGAAATCATCTTTCAGATATGATCGGATAGGGTGAAGGAGACCACAGATGTGCAGCTCGAACACTGTGTGCAAGTCAGACTCGGATCAGATGAGCCGACTTTAAAAGTAAGGAATGAGTTCTCCACGCTCCCTAACTCCACGGTACAGGAAACTGGTCTTTGTCTTATTTCTTTCTCTTTTTTGAAAAGCACAGAAGTTCTGTCATGCCAGTTGTACTCTGCCCTGTTTAGTTTCTTAGGCTTCCATTTTTGTGGAGTCCTTTCCCAACACAGTGCAAATGAAGTCAAGAAGTCGGGGACGGAAACAAGCTCCATTAGTTTCTGAGCGGGATCAACTGATGGACTTTTATTATTGAAGATGAGGAGGCATTTCTACTTTTCAAGTTATACACACTTTCAAGTCCTGACTGTACGGTGCCTGCCCGGCCAGGAGAGGAAAAGCACCCTGTGTGGCCGTCCCAGGAGACAATGGGGAGCGTGGCGTGTACAGGATCCGGAACGGAGAGGACAGGACTTCGGTCCCTGAGTATTATCAGGGAGCCAGAGAGACCACAGTGTGTGGAGAGGGGACGGCAGGGGCATTGCCTGCAGGAGTATTTTTACCAAGAAACACTTGACTTGGGGACTGTGGTGGTTTAGGGGATGAGGTGGTTACAGGTACAAAAATCAGTATCTCCTGCCTTAAGAGCCACAGTAACAACAAAATAAAATGTTCCTGGGAGATCAGCCCTAGTTCTAACACAGAAACTGGTGAGAGCTGACTCCTGCAGAGAAATGAACACCACCTTACAATTCTGTAGCCTGGTTGCTCCTGGTGTGAAGTTGTACCCACCATTGTGGAAATTCCCGAAGAACCCAAGTTTGGGAGGATGTCGGCAATGCTCAGAGGAAGAGTATCTTCTTGGCCCTAAAACATAACTTGGCTCTCAGAATGGCCAGGAGATGGCAGGAGACAGCCTTCATGGTGACCCCCCAGAGCTGGCCACCTTCTGCTTCTGATGGCAGCCACCTCCTCAGGCAAACAGCGCAAGCACAAAGAGAGGCGGAGGAGGAGGCGTGTCCCAGGCCTCTGGGCCAAGGGGAGCAGGAAGCTTCACCAGTATCGGTGCCCAGGCCTTGTCTGGGCTGCAGGGCAGGGGGCCTTCTTGCTCCTCTGGGAGGCTCCGGAGAACCCCCTGCCCCAGAATATCTATCTCAGTGTAGCATCTCTTCCTCCATGCTATTCTTTGAAAGGGCACGAGAAAGTGACATTCATTCTGAAAACACGATGTTGTGTTGTATCTGCCACATGCCTTCATTCCCGTTTTGAATGCAGCAGAAAGAGCTGAGTTTCAAAAGGCCACAGTGAAGGACCGTAAATGAATCAGCACAGGGAGAATGCCAAGATCTTGAAACGAATACCCTTTCCAACTTTTGGACGGAATTTAACTGCACAAGACCAAGCATTTAAGGCCAAAAGCACATGGCTGGGAAGGCAGGGGTGCCAAACAGAGGGGTCAGAACTTTCACTTAGAAGAGAGAATGGACTGCGAGCCAAGCATGAATTGCACAGATATTTCCTTCCTTCTGACAGTGTCCACCAGCACAGCTTAGGACAGAGACCCTTCCGTCAGGGGTCTCCAGGCAAATGCATTTGCCAAATGTTTAAAACTGGACTGAAGAAATCAGCTACAGGGAGACAAAAATGTCTCGACTACAAAGTATTTGTTTTCCATTATTATCTGGACCAGTGACAGAATGTTAGTATGGATTAGCATTAGTAATTTTTTTCCAAATCTGACATTCCTGCCTTGAAATGCAGCAAAAGCATGATAAGCTAATAAGCCCCACCTGACACAGTATTACTGGGATTGTTGAGACTGATCACAGTGAAAAGATCAAGATACTTACAGGACAAAAGTAACAGACCGGTGCACAGTCTCTGCTCTTCGTGTTCGCTCCTAAACAATCTGAAGGTCTGGTTTCTTTGCGTAACTTTAAGAAGGTATTTGGGCCACCACGGTAACAGAATATAATAGTCCATTTGGGTTTGAATATATACATACGTTGGGTCACTCAGGGGCACGCACACACGGGGTGCTAGGTACGAAACCCAGCCCGTTCTCCGAGCCGCAGGTCCTGCAAATGACTTCACCGAGTTGACGACCACCACCCAAGAAGTGTCCTAAGAGCCTCGAAGCCAGAGGGAGCTGCAGGAGTGACAGAGTTAAAGGCTTCGGTGACACACTTTTTTCGTTTAACCACTTTCCCTCATTTTGGCTGATCCATCTGGGCGCTCCCTTCGCAGGAGCAGGGTGGGGACAGGAATGTGCGCACACTGCTCATGTCACGAGTGTTCCAATCTGTCACTTTGTAGGAAGGAAGTGCAGAGTGACTCTGAGTCACCCAAGATCGCGGAGTTAGTCATCTGTCGCGCCAGGAAAAGACCGGGCTGACTCCAGGCCCAGCGCTCACCCGCCGCGCCGGCGGCCTACTCTGAATGAGCGTTCCACGGCCGAACCAACTGTGAGTGGCGTTCAAAGGGAATCCGAGGGGAAAAAGCGCGTCTCAAATCTCTTCCCACTGCTGCTATCTGAAATTAAACTTTCCCTTCAATGGACAATATCAACATTTCCCAAGAGATGACAGTAGTCCCTCCCTCATGTGGTCAGGATTAAATGAGAACATTGGAGATGTCTGAGATTCCATAAAAGAGCCTGCAAATCGAAGTCCTTTCTAGTCCAGTGCGCACGAACAACTGTCTCGCTGCAGTGACGGGCCACCTCCCTTCGCCCCCGTAGTTCCTAAAGGCACCTCTGACAGGCGATGCAGGTTTAGCCCATTTTTCTAGAACTGTATCCTGCAGCATCGCCTACAGCTGTGTTTAAGAAATGAGTTGCCACCAAGATCAAAACTGCGGTGACAGCCACACAGCCAGAGCCACATGTGTCTCGGTATGAAAGAAGCATGTACAAATGTGCCTGAGAAGGATTGGGACAAAACTACCAGCCAGGCAACCTCCTTGGTCACATGGAAAAAAACATCAACTGCACCTTAAGGTGTTTTTCAAAGAAACATGGGCCTTGGTTCAGAGCCTTGTTCAAAGGAAGCTGCCTGGTGTGGGATGGGAGAAAGGCGAGATGTGGACATACTAAAAAGCTCTTCATATCCCACAGGGTCTGACAGAGAACTTTAATTCACACTCCCCAGAAGCCACTGCTGTGGTCCTGGTTTGTGCTTTAAAAACATGGGACTGTGAAACAGGCCGGTGGAGGAAGCAGATGCTTCATGCTTCCTGCTTTCCGGTGACTGTGTATGAAGCATCTCGTGTGCCTGGGAAAAATAAAAGTTCAGTCCGAAAACCTTCCCAAGATGCTGTATCACCAAAAGGGTAGAGTCAGTTGGCATACTGGGCGTAGAAAGCCACTTTAACTCTCTCGATCTGATGGCATAACTTGATGGCAGGCCCCAGCTTCAGCTCCATGCACTCCTGCACTGTCGGAAGAGTGAGCAGCAGGAGCGCCTGCCCGTCGATGTCCTGTTGGAAAACAAAGTAGGTTAGAGGCCAGGCAGTACGCACCAAGGCAACACGCTTGCCCCAGCAGCCTCCTGGGGCCAAGGGCGTGAGGGCTGCTCTCCTTTCCTCCTAAGAGCTTGGACAAAACAATTGGCTTGAGGGCTGTCTCATTTTTTTGGTTAACACATTCTTTTTACTAAAAAACATTTTGGTTACTCTGAAATGTACATGCCTGGGCTGGTGGGGATGAAGAGCTGGAACAGGTGAGATGCTGCAGGAATTCCTTTCCAAGCTCACCACCCCCACATCCATCTCACCAGGCCTGGTCCTTCCTATGCTCTGCTGTGACTTAATTTGAGCACCAGAAAAGGGCTTTCTGGTAAAAGGGAAATCTCACTTCCCTACCAAGGTCTACCACTGCACCATCAGAATGGGTAAAAAGATGCTAGAAAAACATGCCAACGACAAAGCGCAGTTTCCACAGAGGAAAGCTCGGGTATTTAGACACACACGCATGCACGCACCACACGCACCTGCATCCACATGCTGACACTGCCCAGAAGGAAGTGCTACCTGTACCTCTGTCTTATTTGGTCCTTCCTGTCTGTACATGGGGACCCTGCAGTGGCCATATTCATTAACTGACTGTGAAGTTGCATGGTCTTCAGGGAGAAGGGTACAAAGGCTTGCCCCGAAGCTTTAAGGTCACCACTGGATATTTTTTACCCCTTCCTCCTCCTATTCTATAACAGTTGGGTTTATTTCTGTAGATATTGTTTGTCTGCATCACTGAAACCCCTCTTTCCATTCACCAGGATGCTCTTCATATCCCAGAGGGAGTAACTGAGGCTCTGGGAGGCTACAGGCCCAAGGTCATGACAAAGATCAGTGGGGGGATGTGAGCGTCAGTACAACCCAGCCACCGGAAGTTCTACTTCCTGGGGAAGTAGTGTGCCCAGGGCGGCCACAAGCTACAGAGACTCAGTGGATTTCATACAGGCACTCATTTTCATAAACTAGTGTTTTATTTGGCTGTCTTTAGAATGCCTACAGCAAAAAACCAAAATGTGTATGACTGTTAGTCCTGGGAAGACTAATGTATAACACTATGTGCAGGAGGCTGAACCATTAGCTTCAATGACATCAACAGAATAGGACAGAAGTGACCTGAACTTATTTCAGAAGATGGAAGCTTTTCTTAAAGATGGAAAGTAATGCCAGAAAAGCTAGCTAGTTAGAGACATCACTGGAACTAGAATCACAGTTTTCTGATATTAACTTTGGGAAGGAAAATTGTAGCTCCGCTTTTAAAATCTACACTTAGTCATGATGGCCATGCTGGACACAGACAATCAGTTACAATGGAAAATCAGCCCTAAAATACAAATATAACTCTTCCCAGACAATTTCAGTTAAGGTGGCTGCCATATGGAGGATGTCACTCACTCAACAAGCATTTACTGAGTATCTACTAAGTACCAGCACACTCTGATCCTCCCTGCGGATGTCATATCGAACAAAACAAAGATTCCCCCCACCCTTCTAGGAGACTCTACACATTTCAAGGGAGGCAGGCAAATAAACAATCCATTACAATATATAAGGATAAATATATGGGCATAGAGCTACAAGTTCAAATATGATGGTCAACCAAACTTATAGGAGTCAAGGACAGCTACAGAGACTAGGTGATGCCTAAACTGAGGCCTGAGAGAACAGGAATTATTAAGGTAATAACTCCCTCACTGAGAATCAGAGAAATGCAAATTAGGCCCAAAATACAATATAATTTATACCCACAAAAATTAAGGTCTGACAATACTGTGTTGAAGTGTAATAAAAGGGAACTCCCTACGTTACCAGTAGAAAAGCACACTGATGTACTACCTAGTAAAAATATATAACAGAAAATCAGCCAAAAGCACAAGAAGCACAAAATTCAGAATAGTCTTTATGGTTGGTGAAAATCAAGGGGAATGTGTCTGAAGTTTACAGGAATTCTCTGTTTTGATGGCACAGTTGGGGGAATGGGGAAAAGACCATATCCCATGGCCTGAATTTTGAATGTGACCCATGTGGATGGATAAAATCTAGCCCATGTCTTGGAACTTCCCTCGTAAGGGCAGGTTAAACATGTCTTGCGGGTCTCCCAGTGCCCACATGGAAGCCCCTGCACATCTGGGACTAACAGAACTGGAGAAACACAGCAAAACTTTGCCGCAGAGACACTCCTAACGGCAGGAAGATGAAGATTACAGGGTGGGGGTGGATTAAGGCTAAGCTATCTGATTCCCCACAGTGACCCTTCACACCAGCTTTTTATCTGGGAAGCACAGCAGGGCCGGACATCTGAGGTGGAGGAGTGGTTGACAGGCATGTCGTCTGTACTGAGCCACCTCAGGGCCTCTGGCTGTCCTCTCTGGGTTCTCACCTCATTCTCCACCTTCCCTGATGAGCTAACACAGAACTCCAGCACGTTCCTATTTTGAGAAGAATACGCTGCCAAGAAGAAAACCAGACCTCAGATTTAGCAACACCAGCATGCCACGCTGCCTGTTGAAAGGCACGAGACTTAGCGACCTGACCATCAGATTGTCACTGGTGTAGAAGAGCTACGGTTATGGCTCAGTGAGCTCAAATGTGGTTGACTGACATGTCTACCCACTGACTGTCACTCTCACTGCAGAGTGCATGACCAAGATTCCCACAGAGGAGTGGGACGGAGAGGTGGGTGAATGGAAGCAAAACTGGGCAAAATCCTAACATGCACGGAGTCGGGGAAGGGGGGCCGGATTTCACTCTGCAGCTGCTCTCACATGCAGTTTTTGTTCTGGCTTGAAAGCGGCTATTTTTTTCCATTGACTGTGGAGTACAGACTTCATAGTTAATTTAATTTTTACAAATATGCTTTCATATAATTCAGAAGTGCTGGTAAATCGCTTGTCATGTTCAACATAGAATTACCATAAATGGACTACTAATTTTTAGTAAATGAAATACAATAAAATGTACAACATCAAAGTTATGCTTAACACATGGCAAAATTAAATTTATTTTCTTTGATAGAGAGGTCAGCACTGGACTTGGCAGTTCCTCAAGGGGAACACTCGGGTCTACAGAAGTAGGAGGAGGAAATGGTCTAAATGTGAAACAAACCTATAAATTATCTTGCAGTTTTTAAATTAAAATAAGTCGCTAATCTGGGGACTTTATGTATGTCTCTGGCTCATATGAGGGGAATGAGTAGGCGAATCTCACGTGAGGGCTCTGAGTCTGTTCAGTCGTAGGTGCCTGGGTGTCATGCACATGGCACGAACTTAGACAGTGCAGACTGGCTTATGCAGTTGCCATCATGTTTCAGAATTAAAAGGCAGGCATTCCGTAATGGGAACTTTACAATTTGTATAAATAGTCCCAGTGATTATGGGAGTCTCTGAATTTACAACATCCAGATGAGTGAGCTCACTGAGCTATTACCATTCTATGTCCTGGGATTTTTTTCACTCCCTGGTCAGTAAAGACCCCGGGCTCCTTCCAGTTCATCTGAAAACTCATGCAGTGCCTGGGCTGACCCACTGGAGACCTCACCCAGTCACAGCCATGGCATTTGGGCTCAAAGATGACAGATAAAATTAGTAAAAGTTAGTAATTAAAGGTCTGATTGAACAGAAAGAGACTCAAGTGCCTGCGTACTTCAGATAGCACAGCGGGCAACAGCCTTTTATTGAGACAGGTGAAATGGCCTGATGTGAAATTTAAAATTAAACAGGAATAAGGATATCATCAGTGAAAGTCCACCTATGTTTCTCTCTACATGATAAATTATAGGTAAGTGGGACCAAGCTTTTAACTGATGGGAGAAGAGCAATGGAAGGGCGGGCCCTGCCCACTGCTTGGTGCTAGAAGTGGTAACATGCCGGGAACACTTCACTTCTTGGGAGCCTTAGCTTGGGAAAGCATGAAACTTTCTGAGATGCTGTTATAAACCAGGCGCAGAAGAACTAAACTGAGGACAACTCAGCATAAGTAGCATTTCAGCCTTTTACCTTCAAGCGCGCACATACGTGGACTGGTGGATACGCACATGAGAGGGTGTCCTCAGCGCTTGTCCTGTATTTGAATGCAATGCTCCTGGCAAGATTTCAGAATTACAAGAATTCTGCTGTATTTTCATTCTCAAGACAGATGTAGCTTATAGCATACCTCAAATCATGCAAGTCCTCACATTTCTTGTCATTCTCTTTCTTTTCTGTTTGTGCGTTTGAAAAGGGACATGTTCATTACCCGGGCTCCTGATGTCTAATGAAGCTCCTCCCAGAGAAGACAGCTGGTCAGGGAGCCCCTCTCACCACCATTCACGCATCCTGGGCGCGCTCACCAGTTTCTGCAGGAGATTCTACTGGTCGCTCGCAGTCCTCTGAACGTGAAGAACCACTCCCCCCTGGGAGGAGCTGGGAACCATATTAATGTGCTTTTCACAGTTCATCACTACATTATTCTGAGAGGTTCACTGGGAGCCTGGGAAATCAGAGGCCTTTTTTTTCTTTCTGATTTATTGCTTGTATTACCCTTTATCTAGACTATTGGTTTGTATAATCTAAAAAAAGACTGGACAGACATATTTTTAATTTATTATATGGGAAACTTTTTAAAAAAAGTACAGTGTCTTGAGAGACAGATTTTTACAACATTGTGACACATGAGAGAAACGTCAACAAATTAAGCGAACAGTAGAACATGCCTCACGGGCTTAACCTTGAACTTTTTACGTGAGACTAGTGAGGCCTGCAAGGTGGCCCATGTTTAAGGAACAGCAATTTGTTTGCTTGTTGAGTTGAGGGAGAATGTAAATAAAAACCATCCTTTCCTACGGTTCATCGTCACGTCTTACATTTTAGCTGATTATAGTCATTTCTTCTGCTAAATTTAAAATTCCTGTAACGTGCAGATTGTATCAACTGTTTTTGTATTTATCCTTCATTAGCACAATACCCACCTAACCCACCAGAGGCTTTAAAATATTTTACAAACTCTGAGGGAGAAAGAAAAAAAATGATGATGAAAGCAGCATGAAATAGAACAAAATGTACAGAAAACCACTTCTGGGAAGACTGAGTCAGCATCCTTTTCCCTGTATCTCCCAGCAAGTATGAGCAAAAGCTGAGTGTTATAAATCAAACAAACTTAAGAAGAATTTGAAGGTGGAGAGAAGGCAGACCAGCTGGGACCGTGGGACCCGAGATGAGATACCACACAGTGCTGAGTGTTCTGAGCTTTACGTTTGCCTTGTATACGCAGGACATCGCTAAGGAAGCTGGGAGCCCAGAAATGCCCGTGGGCACAGCTGGCAGGAGGCCCGACTGTGGCCTGCGCTCTCTAGCCAAAGGCCTGGGAAAGGGGCAGCCCAGGGGAGACAGAACCTTTTAGATGAGGACTGCTCCCCTGCAGGACCAAGTGGCCTACCCGAGTCTCCCAAGAAGGTGTTGGCGGAGACCATGTGTGCACCCCAGACTCCTGCTCCCCGCTCACAGATGTGATGAGGAGGTGTTCCCTTCCCCTCCCAAAGCTGTGTCACAGGAAATCAGCTAAAACAGAAGGTTTAAGTAAAACTTCAGAGTCTCATAATAAAAACAGCAGGCATACCACAGAACCATCATACCTGTTCCTGAAATATTTTGGCCAAGGGGGCGCAGTCTGTCAGTTTAATGAACCTCACCACGTCGGTCACCGTCCACTCTAACGGGTTGCTCTCCAGAATGAGTCTCTCCTCCTCCTCTTGCTTTACTTCCTGCAGAGATAAGGGAAGCAGGAGGTCTCATCTTATCACTTCAGGGTTGGCGGGACCCTCGCTAAAACTGGGAGTGTGAGGGGATGGCCCCCTAAAGTCTCTCATAAGATGCCAGGACAAACCACAGGGTCTTTGGTCTCTCAGGACTTTTTAAGCAGCTCATCTGGGTTACAATTTGGCCTCTGATGATTTGTGTGTCTTTAGAGGTAAAATATTTGTTAAAGGCACACCGATGGCAGTTGTTGAACCCCAAGTTCATGAAATCTTGGGCCTGCTTAATGAAGCATCCCTGAATGAAGAGGACAAATGAATGATAAGGGGCATCTGTAAATGTACATAAGGGATTGAGCTGTCCCATTTATTTTTGTGACATTGGTGCCGGTGACCTTCCAGCTGGTCATCTAGCACCTGTAGGGTTAAGGGAGACCTGACAGGCCAATTTACTCTTTCACAGTATCACAGAGTAGCTTGGAAAGGGAGTGTAGTGTTCAACGGGACCTTGAGGACTTCTTCAGTCTCTGCTCCTCAAAGAGTCCTTTGTGGGTTGCAAGCCTTCCACTGAAAGAGGTGCTATTGCTCCCCTCAGAGCTCCATTCTGACGTCCACGGACTCACCCAGTCAACGTAAAATCACCAAGTCTTTGGAACTAGGCTGGAGCAGCTGCTAGAGTCTTTAGCATTTTAAACAGGTATCCCCAAATCTAGCCTGCAAACTATAATGCATTTTCTCCTTTAACACTCTGTCTAGACAAGCCAGTGCCAGAGCTCGTGAGCGTTACCTGTCCTGAGTCCTTGTCCTGGCTGGCTGCAGGGCCCTTGTCGCCACCCTCGGCACAGGGGGCAGCCTGCACTCTCCGGCCCCGCCTCGCCCTTTCCACAGGCAGCCTTCGCTCAGGCTCAGAGCTGCTCCTCAGGGTGACAGCCCTCCGGGGCCTGGCAGAGGGGACCTCAGCCGAAGAGGTGTCTGTCTGGTCATCCCGAAGTTCGGAGCCGGTTTCCTCGCTGCCAGTATCATCGTCCATGGCATCTGCGTCCTCCTCTTCACTTTCCTACAAAGGAGGGACATACATGGGATGGAGTTAAGCGAAAGGGGCCTTTGTGAACACCACAGGCTGGCCTCTAACGCCTGCCCAGGTGGCCCTGGGAAAACCACTGGGTGACACCTCTGAGGACTGATCTGAAGGTCCCAACCAGGGTCCCAATGACAGCCTTTCCGTTGTGAGAGCAGCTGACAATGTTAAATCTGTTTTCAACCAATAAGGAGCAGGGGTCCTGGTGTCTCGTGTGTGCAACCATTAAGCATTACACTTTCGCTGTGGCCTCCCTGTCCCGCTCGCTGGCCAGGGCGCTGCGTCCCTGTGGAGTGTCGGAAGGCGCCTTGGCAGAGCGTACCTCCCCCGACCCTGCCGCGAAGTCCACCGCAGAAGACCTCCGTTTCTTCTGCACAAAAATGGATTTTCGCCGTTTCCTACGCCTGGCTGGTTTAGAGTGTCCACTTTCAATGTTGCTTTCCCCAATTGGGGGCTTAATGATCTTCTTTCTCTTTCCATAATAATAGGCTACAAGGAGAGAGAGAATTAAAAACTTTTTTAAAAAAAGGTTACACACATGTATATACATAGCACAGAGACAAGAGGGAGAGAGAAGGAGATTCCTGTGATTCCTGTGTACGCAGGACGAAATGGGAGTATACATGTAAAATTGAAGGAAATTCACACTCTGGATAGCGTTTCAAGTATGTTCAGATTCCTTGGCCTGACGCACAAACTCACAAATCCCACTGGCTGGGGCCCACAGGACACCGACTGTGCTTGTAGGGCCTGGCGATGCGGGGGGTGGGAGGGGGCATGGCTGGCACACGGGCCAGCAGAGCAAACGTCCAGGTCGCTGGGACAGGGGTGCAGGCACCCCCGGATGAGAGCTAACTGAGGGGAAACGTAGAAAGAGCAGATGCCAGTTCTCAGAGCTCACACTCTCCGCAGTGCAGGTGTCTGGGAGAGGCTGATGCACGGAGGTGAGGCCAGAACCTTCTGGGCCTGGGGAGACCAAGAAGAAGGAGGGGGAGGTCACCAATGTGATGGGCAAACGGAAGAGGCAGGCGCTGGAGAAGAGAACATCCTGCCAGGAAGAGGTCAGAGCAAAGGCGGTGTGGGTCGTGGTAGCCACTCTGACCGTGCAGAAACAGGGACAGTCAAGACCAAAGAAGGTGAAGAGTGCTTTGCACTGTCAAACTATTCTAACCCGAGAGACAGTCTGAGTTACATGGTATAAACAGGGAAGAAACTTATTGTGACAAGGAGGTTACCCCACATAAAGGACAGCAATGAGCCCTGGCTGGTGTGGCTCAGTGGACTCAATCCAAAGAGTCGCCAGTTTGATTCCCAGTCAGGGCACATGCCTGGCTTGTGGGCCGGGTCCCCAGTAGGGGATGCATGAGAAGCAACCACACATTGATGCTTCTCTCCCTCTATTCCCTTCTGTCAAACAAAGAAATAAAATCTTAAAAAAAAAAAAAGAAAAGAAGGGCAATGAGAGACTTGTTATAATTCCTCAGTGTGGAAAGCCAAGAAGTAACTCTGGTTACTAGTCATTTCCAATAACCCACTTTGTTGTGCTCTTCTTTGAGCCACACGGGGTTCAGAAGCAGCCACCCCACTGAACTCGGGGCAGCACACACCTCCTGAGGCCAACGCCTAGCAGTGACCATTCGTCCTGAGTTCAGTCACCCCATGCGTTCTGCACAGTGAGCTGGAAAACACAGAACTATCTGCCCCAGGAAATCTCACTTCCACACTAATTCCTATGAAACACCACTCCAAAGGTTATTTTAAAAGCCACAAGCAGGCCCTGGCTGGTGTAGCTCAGTGGATTGAGCGCAGGCCTGCGAACCAAAGGATCGTGGTTTGATTCCCAGTCATGGCACATGCCTGGGTTGCAGGCCAGTTCCCAGCAGGGGAAGTGCGAGAGGCAGCCGTACATTGATGTTTCTCTCCCTCTCTCCTCCCTTCCACTCTAAAGATAAATAAAATCTTTAAAAAAAGCCACAAACACCATCTGCATGACGCTATAGTGCAGGCCCTTGGACCAATGTTCTGTTCATTATCAGTACTCACTGTATTTGGTTTTGGTATGAATAGAGCAGTTTTCTGGGCAGTTTTCAGAAACCAGCACAGGACTGAACAAATTTGGACAGCACTCCAGCTTGGCACAAACCCGTCTGCAGAAGTCTGCCACTTGGTCAGAAGTTCGTACAATCTTGGCCACAGCCCTGTATGTTTTGCCTCTGTACCTAGGAGGAAGAAAGGAAGGAAAAATGATGTCAGGAGCACAGAATTACTCAGGCCTATTCTGTACACCGTATCTCAAAGTTCCCCTTTATTTTCTAACAATAAAGCAGGCTTGGCATGATTTCCATGTCATTTGTTTTTTGGTTGTTCTTTATGTTCTCACAAAAATATTTTTCAGAAATGCCACAATACATGCAATGGCAGTGCTTACACAGAATCAGCACAATGAAGATTTCCATTTAGCGTACTGTCATGGCGGCATACGTAATTGAACACCAATTCCAGATGCTCCTGGAATCTAGATATTATCGTTTGTTGCCCATCACTTTTGAGGGAAAAAAAAGTTCTCTGCCCAAGAAAAAACATCTTCAGTGAAGCCACCAACCTAAAACTGGAAACAGGATCTTCTGGAAAAGCAGGTTGAGTTCTGGTTTTAAAAATAAGTCCTGCAGGCCTCATTCAAATATTTATGGCAATAGTGACATAAATAATGCCTGGCTGAAAAGATGAGCATTTGGAAGTAGGTTCGAATCACCTTTCAATATATTTTTTAAAAGTATCACTGGTATAAAATAATGATAAACTTTTCAGTTGGCAACAGATCATAGGTCTTTATTTTCAGTCACGCTCACTAAAGTTAAGAGTCCACTAAAATGAGAAGGCACCAAAACAGTGGGGCCTGGTAAACTATGCCCTGGGCGTGTGCCTGAACCGTCAAACTGGAAGCTGGAACCAGAGCTCTTTACCAGCCTGTTGTTCACACATACGTGCGTTCACGTCCCCAACGACCCATCACACAACTCAACAGGGACAGCCGGCAATTCATGGAAACAGGAGCGTTACATGAGAGCATTACTTTTGTATTTTGAGGATAAAACATTTAGTTCAAAACCTAGGTCTGGTTCACTAAAAAAAATGTGACGATGGGAATAAATAGAATAATAAACTGCTCCTGAATTTATTCCAACTTAGTTTATTTTCTGTCCTAAAATATTTTCCCCCTAAAAATCATTGTTCAAGTGTCAACCACAAAAACACTACATTTCATCCTGGAAAAACTGGCTTTCTGTTTATTCGCTGGCCTTTCACGTGCCAATCCCTGCCTCTTCTATTCTGTCTCCAGAGGCCAAGCTTGACTTTCTGCTTAGTAAGAACGAAAAGGAAATTCTTTGTAGATAAGATCATGTTTTAAGTCCCACAACCTTGTACAACTGTTGACTTTTCTAGGACCTCTATGGACCTGAGGTGTGGAAACGGCCCTGCCCTCAAGGTCGGGGGGCGGCCTGCCTCATCCGGGGCAGTGTCTGCTTACTGTTTCTGATGTCTGTCACAGTAAACACACCGTTTACTGCACACCGTTAATGCTGGTCGAAGTGGAGAATAAAAATGAGGTTTTGCTCTACATGTTCCCTTGCTGCTTTTTTCCCACCACAATGGGGGCTGAAGAGCTCAATATCAAGACTCTCAGAGTCCTTTTAAAACAGTAAAATAATAGAAGGTGAAAAAGCAAAAGAACCATGAAAATAAGGTCAAAACTCAAACTGTGGAAGTAGGGACACCAAAGGCATATAATTCTGTTCCCAGACTTCCAGTTCCCAAGCAGGCACTTCCAGAAACACAGGAGAGGGAGGGAGGAGAGGGGGACAGACGCCATGGGAGATAGAGAACGGACGGCCTCTCCTTCCCCTGCTTCAGTGGGATGATTCAATGGAAGACAGTGTTTCGGTAAAACCCTTCTCCACCAGGAAAAGCCAATCCACTTTCATGCGAAGAGAATCCCAGCACGGTTGGAAAGTAAGGGGCTCCTGCCCTCTTGGAATAGTTCTGTCGAAAAGCCTTGGCAGTGGTGGTAAGGTGGCGGCACTGAGTGCGCTGGCCGGGAGGCAGGGGGGACCCGCAGAGCCCAGACTCAGGGTGTGGACCCTGGGAGTGCTGCCAGGACCTCCCCTCCCTGCAGACCTTGCGCGGAGGGCGTCAGTGTGCTGGGGAGAGCCCGGTGTGGGCTGCGTGCCAGGGCCAGGTGCTGAGTGTCGGCCCCCAGGAGGGGAGGGAAGAACCAAGTTACAGGAGACTGCTGCCACACCGGGGCCTGACCAAACACACAAACACACCGAAGGCAGAGTGGGTCAGGCTTCCCGTTCACACGGGGACGCTGGGGCATCGGGCCAACAACTTCCTCTCAAATCAGTCTGGGGGAGGAACAGTCCTTTTATTCTGGACTTGCAATATTTGTACAATTCTTAGGTTGTCTCAAAATACTTAAAAATAACAAAAATAAATTTTGTTATTATATACATGACTCAAACTACATTAGGCTTAATATATATTTTCCAACAAATGCTTATTTTCTAGCACTGTTAGTACAGGAATCATTTTCCGTTATCATCACAAATGTGGAAGAAAATCTGTTTGGAATATCCAATTCCAGGCTGAACCAATAATGTGGCTTGTTTTGGAGTTGGTCAGCAAATTAGGGCCATTGTTCAATAACTGTTTTTCACGCAGATGTACGAAACACATAGAGATGCTGGCCTACCAAGATACACAGGCAGAGGCAGCTCTAGGGTTCTGAGCAAAGGCGGGGCTGAATTAATACTGCCATTTCTCTTTTCTTAAGGACTCTACCCTGTGTGATTATTACGTGACCTTCGGAGACAGAAGGAATGGCCAGGTGTCAGTGGCGCCCCCCACAGACACGCAGAAGTGGGAGGACCGCTGGCACCTTCGGGCGGCACTCAGGCATCCCGGTGAGCCTGGGAGCCGTAGTCCTGGTCACCACACTACTCTTTACTTTACCACAAAAGAAAAGAAGAATCTGTTCTGTGGCTTTCCCTACCACAAAAGGCTTAAGAGCTGTATTCCAACGACATAATCCTGTAGGCAGGATATGTGATGAGAAAGTTCAAAAGCATTGGATAATGCCTTTCCCTTTATCCTCTCATTGCGAACTTGGAGAGAAAAATACTGAGCCACAGAATTTATTAAATGGCCCAGCAAAGCTATTGTAAGCACAAAGATAAGATTTTTTTCACAGGTTTTGTGAAAAAAAGGAGAAAAATGTTGAAAGAGACAAACAGGTTATTACACAGCAGAAAACTCCTTGGCGTTGTAAATAATCTCAGAAAGAAGGAAGGAAGCAAGTAGTGAAAAACCCAGGGCTGGAGCACGATGGGAGATGCCGAGGTGACTCCAGTCTCGGAAGCACACTTTGAAACCCTTCAGGAAGTCAGAAACCAACAGACGGACAGAGGAGAGATATTCTCCTTGGCTGCCAATGTGGGGACCCACTCAGAACCCCAGAGTTAACATAAAGATTATTTTAAGATGAAGACACTTGAGCTCCAACAGATGCAGAAAGAAGGTTTTCCGGAGCTTCCATTATCTGATGTAAAGCAGAAACTACTGGGAAATGAAGACTTCCATAAATTCTGTCTTTGAGGCAGCTTCTAATCACAGGAGAGAGACGGAGAGTAAATCTCCCATAAATCCTCGAGCAGGGGAGTTTGACTGCGGAAACACAAAGAAGGCTTGTACCGCATAAACAAACATTATCCATTATCACAAGCTTTCTTATCTCTCACTTGTTCTCCTAAAAAATCATTTGTCTTTCCTAAAGAAATCCATCTCTTTCTTCCCCTAGAGGCCTTTCCTGCATCCTCCTCCCCCCCCCCCCACACCGCCTCTGCTAAGTTCGGTCAGTAGAACTTAGCTGTAAGTTCCAAATTCTAACTGCCCCTCTGAATCACTCATCACGGAGCTCTCCTGCATGTAAGTTGCACCTGTAAGTAAACTGCTTTTTTTCTCTTGCTAATCTGTCTCCTCGCAGTTTAATTTGCAAACTCCCAGATACTGAACATAAGAGGTAGAGAAAAAGGTTTTCTTCCTTGACATTAATAAGGAAGTGTGAGTGCCCTTCCAGTATCTTTTGACCAACCAAAGCAGGGATTTATTTCCATGTGTGAGTACACACAGCAGGATGGAGAGAGACAAATGAAGATGGAGAAGCAAGAGTGCTGGGAAAAAGAAGTCGAGAAAAATCAAAATAGATTTTGAGTCAAAAGAAATTCAGAGTAAAAAGACTGACACTGGCCTATCGGCCCATACATAACCACCGCGGTCTGAGTAGGATGACTTGCACTTGGCCCAAGTTTTATCATCCATCTTCAAAATGACTCATATCAGGACCTTTTCACAGATCCTGGTAAGTAGTGAGAGGGGTGGGAGAATGGGGAGCAGGAAGGTCCCAGGCTGTCAGATGGAATTCACATTCTTGTTTATTACAGGAAAAATTAAAAGGGAAAACGGTGGTAACCCTGATAACCCTGCAGAAATAGAGAGGCTTCACAAGTTGTGAGAAAATCAATCTTCTGATTTCTTTCAGAATTGCACTGGTCACATCATCTGAACTAGAGTCAATATGTTGGTTTAGTCACTGGTTTTCAATCTTATGATACTCAACTCAGAAATTTCTCTCTTCTTTCTTGATCCCTGCATTTCAAGCAATGAGAGCTCTGTGCAATACATGGAAGTTTATTTTAGGAAGATCATGCCTAACTCGGAACATCCCGAACTGGTCTATGTTGGAACCAGAAACACCACACCCATAATCAGATGAATTTTAGTACACATACAGAAATTCAGTCTTCTATTCACATACTGGTTCACCTGCCTGCTTCATGTAATATGTATAGTATACATTTTCAGGAAGGCAAACTGCACAAATCTGAGCAAGGTAAAAATTAACAAACGAAGAAACAAAATCTTTTTCAGCAAAAAGTCTTTCAGTTGAGGAATTTTTTTCACGTAAATCTCTTTATAGACAAATATTACATCTTATTCTTCATAGAATATAGGCATGAATAAAAGGCCCCAAAAAGTAAAACAAATAAAAACATATACAAAATTAGGCATTGCTTATGAAAAACAAGTAACAAAACCTGTTTTCCATACAGCTGAGAATGACTCACCTAAAAGTAAAGATTTGACTATGTTCTTGCTTCTGTCTAGCTGATAATGAAGTCTAATTCACTTGAAATTATATCAGGATATATCCTCTTTAAATATTATGAATGACTGTAAGAAATGACTGGGGAAATCTATTAAGCCTTCACCTGGCTTTTTAAAAGATGATCACAAAAGCCATTCAAAGGAAAGTTCCCCTTCCCCTCTCAAGATTCTGTAACATGATGGAAAACATATTTAAATGTCCCTAGATGCACAGAGTTGGAATTTCTTTTAATTCCTACTACGTAAAGCCTAAATTCCCCTAGTGAAATCCAATATGATCAGGTCACTTTCGTTCATCGGAGAGAAAGAACTTCCTCTGCCCGAGCAGCCGAAGGGACTCCAGCAACACCCACCCTCCCTTGGGCGCTGCAGCCACTGTGGTTTTGCCTTTCACACACGTTGAAGGTGTCCTATGACAGACTCCTTACATGACGCTCAAATATTACCACAGGCGGCTTTAGCACAACACTCTAACTGTTGGATAAACAGAAAAGAGTAAAAACACTAAGGAACAACTGAAGGTAATGGCGTTAGTGTTTCTTCTATTTACAAGTCAAACCTTCTCAATGGCACCTTCACTCTGTCCAGTAAATGGGTCTTTACTCCTTGGAAGAAAAACCCATCAGAACCTCCAGATGCTCAGCGACAGCACTCACAGAGCCCTATGGGGGATCTGATGCCCTTTCTTCCTGTAAACACTTTGTCCTGTTATAAATCCACGACCACAACTAAGACAGCCGAATGCCTTAAATGCAGCAGGTCTCCCCTTGCTGAGTTAATTTATTCATGACAGAAACCACGTCAGCCTTTCAGTTCAATGGGCAGAAGCGAGCTCTCTCTCCTCCCATTTGCACCAAAGACATAGCCAAGTTGTCAAGATCTAAAAAGTCGTAGTGTTACATCAGGAGGAAAGCGGTGACTCCACACGCAGTAGCAGAACAGGCACGCTTCTGCTGACTGTAAACCTGTCATCATTAGCAGGTGCTGTGAGAGGCCGCTGTGATCCCACACAGTTGAAAGCCGGTTCAGACAGACGTTTTCGCCGAAGTTGCTGTGCACGACGTTGCTCAGGAACTCACTGTCACATGTGATATATCAGGCCCTACGTTGCCTCTACAGCAGCACAGGGCCGGGTCGCAGCGTGCCGTTCTGACTGCACTGGGGACATGGGGGCGGGTGCAGACACCGCACAATGAACGCCCCTGCATCTGGGGATCTGGAGCAAGTTTCTGGCTTGCTTAGGAGCACGGGAGATTGTGATGGAATTTAAGTTATGTTTAGCTTCACTATTTCTGAATCCATTAGGAATATTTTAGATGTACTGAATGATAGAGAACATTTTTAAAATAAGAATTAAAAAGAGTTTCTGTATAAATACTTGCTCAGGTTTTCTGCCACCATTACTATGATGTACTGACCTTTACAATAAAAGTGTTTTATTATTGATGATGATCACTCCCTTAAATAAAGTAGACATATGTAGAATATTATATAGAAAAAAACTTGTTTTATATTTTTCTGGGCTACAATGAGAAGCTCATTTAAATATTTCTTGGGGAAGAAGTGAAGGATGAGAAATGGCGCCCTCTTGCTCTGGTGTGCCATTTCTACGACTGAATATTCTCCTTATTTACTTACGGGGGGACCCGAAAAACAGAATTTATGTATAAAAACTGGGTATTTATTCTGACATGTTTAAATTTCAGTCACTTCAAAGTGCTCTCCATTTGATGCAATACACCCGTTGAGATGTTTTACCCACTGCTCAGAACAGTTTCTGAACTCACTGATGTTGATGCCTTTTCGTGCCTCTGCCATTTTTCTTGTTTCACCTCTTCCACATGGGCAAAACATTTCCCTCTGAGGACTTTATTCATCCAGGGAAACAAAAAAAAGGCAGCTTGGGGGCAAGATCAGGTGAATAGGAACAGTAGGGCAACCAGGATCATGTTGTTTTTGATAAAAAATTACTGAACACTCAGCATGGTGTGGGCAGGTGCACTGGCAAATCACCCATCATGAAACGTGTTGAAAGAATCTTCAAAAACCATTCACTGATGTCAAATGCAGGCTCTTACAACACCAGTGTACCAGCTGGTACACTGATACAGATGGGTTCCTAGAATACTTACCTAGTGGGGGAAGCCTGGACTATAAGGAACCTGCTCTCCAGAAGATAATTCTGGGTTTTTTGGGGCTCCCTTCTCATATATTCCCTTTAACTTTTGTGGTTCAGTAGAATATCAATAGGGTACAAGTGACTTTTACTGAACCTAAAATCATACAGATATTCAAAAAAGACACTAGACAATGCTGGTTGGGTAACTGACAAAAATGTTGAAGAAAATTGTAGTATCTCAACAACTCTACTCAGTACCAGTGTAAGTGAATTACAGAGTAAGTAATTATTGCTCATACAAATTACTTAATATTCCTCAATTTTCACTATGAATAAGATAAGTACTTTCTTTAAAGAAGAACTTATAGATACATATGTTAGCTATTGAAAAGTGGTTCACTCTTTCCAACAGCATCATTTCCCAAATATTAAATCTAAACAATATGTTAGTTCACTTATACAAAAAGCTGACCAGTAAGATCTATTCCATTTGCAAAGCCTAACTAAATATTAAAAGCCCTCTTAGAACACCAAAACAATTATTAAACATAAATTTATCTAGAGAAATGGATCTTTTCCTATCTGTTTCCTAAGCAACAGAGTTCAAGCCTACTGACCCAATTGGTGCTCAGTTTCAGAGTTCAAGAAACTTAAAGCAAAACAAAACCAGCACCTTTCCAATTAGCCCATTTCCAAATAAAGAAACAAATGACCAACTACATGTTAACCTGCAGCCCATCCACTAGAACCAAACAGAGGTACTGGCTCTTGTTATCCGTTAAAAACTATCAACTCTCAGAGTAAAGAATGTTTGGATCTGGCTTAATTAAAGCCTTTATAGTATCAAGTATTAAGTAAGAGCTGCTATTCATTAGCATATTCATTATGTATAATATAGATTAGTGATATCTTCTTTTTATAACAATGTCCCCTTTTGATAAAATAATCTCTTGGACCTGAACACAGGGTAAATTCTGCATGTTTAACACTAAGTATTATTTGAGCGACCCTCCAGTTCCTGTTAGGAATCCTAAAGCTCCAGGCAACTCTGGAGAAAAATGCCGATATTCCCTGTGCAGCACACAGAACTGCAGAACGGCAGCCTTTCCTCTTGCTTCCATTTCTCTGTCAAAAGGAGGAACAGCAAGTTTCATCGGAGCAGGCCAACTATTACGAGAACCCTTGTTTCCCAGAATTGAAAACACTTACTTTGCCTTCAGCGTTTCCTCCTGAAAGTTCCAGTGTGGATCTTCCACCAGCTGTAATTCCCTCAATACCCTCCCAGGCTTATAAGCTGCATTGATTATCATGCTAAGAACCTGTTGGGAAAAAAAAGAACCACAATGAACGTGTATTGTGCCCATTCCTGCTAACACAGGGTTGCTTTGAAAACCACCCAGCAAGAAGCATTTGCTCAACATTCCTTTGGGTCAAGGGCTGTGAAGACATTAGACAGGAGTTCTGCAGGCTCACCATCAATGGGAGAAAGCAGGTGGTACAATCCAATCCCTCTGCTGATGAGTGGGGATGGAGGACTCTCACTAACATTTCTGGTTGTGGAAAACTGAACCATTTCTTCCAATGTGTGTGTGTGTGTATGTTACGTGTCATTGAGTTGGCTCTGACACCTGGTAACCCTACAAACGAGTGATGTCCACAATGCCCTGTCCTCGACAGCCTGGCTCGGCTCCTGTGGACCCACACCCACGGCTTCCGAAGAGCCACTGATTATTCTCCAACAGGGTTACTCTTCAGTGGGACTGGCTACTGAGAATTTCATTTTATTCTTCAAAGTCAATTTTCAAAAGGCGTCAATAAGACAGAGACGACAGGTTCATGGACAGACCTCAGATATGTGTAAGGAGGGTAACAATTACGTGAAAGCCACCTGGTGCTGCCCCCATTCATGGCTATTTAATACCAGGACAATTCTCTCAGAGATGGTAATTTCAAAAGGAAGTGTGGAACATCCAACACCATCTATTTCCTCAAATGACCCCTTCATCCCCAAATCGCAAATCAGAGAAAATAAGCATGTGGTCTTTGCCGACTGCAACAGACTGCAACACCCCCAGAAGGACGAGACACACCCCTTTGACAGTGCCAACCATGTGCTCTGAGAAGATGACATGTCCCTGTTAATCTTGATGTGTTTCTCAGACGAAAAAGAACAAGGAATTTAGGGCCCTCGCCTTTCCCTGAGCAAATCATCATTCACAGTGAACATGATTAACAAGTTCCAGCACGTTCAGGAGTTGCTGTTATTTGGATAGAGAACTGAAAGAATGCAAAGGTGCAGTGCCATGTACAAAGGAACGTGAGACGTACCATGAAGTGCCCCTTGGTTGGGATCTGCCACGTGCAGGCCCTGGGAGCACACGCAGAATGCGACTCAGTACCTGCTGCTCCTCAAGTCTCTCCCAGTCCAGAAGGGGAGGAAGCCAGGCACTGAGCTCACATCTCGGGTTTCAGAGCAAAATACCATTGGAAGAGTGATACAAGTATCTTACTGAGATGGGATGCTGGCATCATTGCCGAAGCACCTGCTGTTTTTGGAGACCAGCACAGTATCAATGGCAAAGGAGATGCAAGTATGTTAGAAGAATTTTCATGTTTCTGATGTGTTCCAGAATATAACTGGCATAGTTTATACCCTGATTTAATTCTGAAAAATAATACAGCTTTCTCATATTATAACTGAGGATGTGACCTGAAAACATTTTATACTATGCAGTCAGCATGGCAGCTGCCTTTTCTTTCCTTGGGTAGCATTTTGCTATGTTCCGGGTTCAGCCAAGGCACTAAAAGGCCAGCACGAGGCAGAACAAGCAGTTTTGGTGTACTTCTGTTTTCTGCATTAGAATAATCATCTGATTTTATTGTTTACTGTCAGGACAATTTACAGAGACCGAGTTTAAAAATAAATCCAATTAGAACTGGCTGAAATAATGTGCAAAGCATTTATCAACAGACAATAAAGATTCAACTGATTCTTTTCATTGTGTTTCACTGAGAAAACCCCAGAGCGGCTACCTGTTATTTGCTGTATATTGAAATGCATTTTGTGGCTGTGAAAAGAAAATGCCTTCCAGAGTTCAATTCAGTCTAGAAGCAGGCAGCAATTAAATTGTGAAAAAGCATACAATATTGAGTAATTTTCCCATGGCTTTTCTCAGTGTCGCATCATTCATCTCCGAATTCAACAAGCTTCCCATAAAACTTTGGGAGTACGAGCTAATTTTTGTGTACATGGCATCTTAGCATATTGTAGTTATGTCCACGACAATAACTGAGTTGACAGCTGTTATTAATATCCAGAGTTAGACTGAATGACTGCACCTCGTAAAGCATCAGAACTCAGTTCATTATGCTCTCAGTCAGAATGTGGAGCATGGGCTCTGCCTCCAGTTAACAAGACATACTTCATGTTCGAGCAATGACCCACTTGGTTTCTTGGAGTTCATGAGATGTTTGTTGAGAACATACTTCTACACAGAAGCGCCCACAACATGTTACAGCAGAAAGGCAATAACCTTTGTAATTGTACACATACCAAATCAAATCCCATTTCCATCTCACAGAAGCTATGAGTCCTTAGGGAAGATACTTGATTAGATTTCCTCCTCTGTGTAATGGGGACATTGCTATTTATCTGGTTCATAATGAAGGGGATCAGATCATGATGCCTCAAAATATGCCACTTTGACGTTGGGTTATTTTGCAATGAAAGCAAGTGAGAAAGAGCAGACAGAGAACAACTCTCTGCCCTCCCCCTTTCTGCATAGAAGCAGGGCACACATTTCCCTTTGTGAAGGTGTCCTTCCGTCCCCTCTCTCCCATCCCAGAAAGAGCACAACCCTTGTCACTGGAGAAAGAAAGACGGCACAGAAATGGCTCTGCACAAACAAACCTCAGGAAAAGAACCCTTATCTTCCATTAGTTTTCCCTGTATATTTACCTTCCTGCAATACCAGCCCTAGAAGCTCAAACCCCTTTTCCTTTGCCTTACAACCTCTCTGTAATTTATTGCCTTTTGCTAAAATGGTATGTAAAAATCTTTCACTTCTTTTCTGTGAGGTCTGGTTATATTCAAAATAAACACTTTCCTGTTAATCTCTTTTGTCACTTTAATTTGTAGGCTCCAGCCACTGAATTTGAGAGAGTAGTGGAAAAGATTTTCCTTTCCTATAACAGGGGAATTACGAGAAATAAAGGAGGTAATAATTTGGCATAACAAAACATTTGAAGGCTGCCCTCTTATTAATATCAATGCGGCCCTCCTCCACCCATAAAACAAACTCTCCTGTGCTTTGGCCTCTCTATGAGTACTGGTACATGTTTGTATTTGTCTTGCACCCTTGCAAAATAACTTTCCTTAGAAGCTCCTTGACTTTCTTATTACTGCTTCCTTTTTAGAACTGAATAGCTCATAAAAATGATTCATACTTTCAAATTATCCATCTTCATTTCAATTCTCAACACATCCAAATCTAGTTTCCTCTCTAGCTGCCACACAAAGATGCTGTGGGGAAGGGCACCCCGGACCTCAGATCAAACCCAGTGAGCACCCATCCTCCTGGACCTCCGAGGGAGCGATCTGAGAGTGCGCATGGCTGCAGTCCTGCAGAGCTCCTTCGCTCTCCTGCCTCTGCTCCACCAGGTGCAAGAGTTTGTTCCGAAAATGGTGCGTGGGTCAGGGTTTGGGGAAGAGGAGAGGAACAATCAGAGGGAGGAAGAGACAAAGAGGAGAAAAGAATGCAAGTGCCATTATCAGGGGAAGGAGCAAACACTGTAATAGTGTTCGATGCACAGGAGCTACTCCATGAATGTCAACACTCGAAGTGTATTGTAAATCAATGGGAACTTTTTTCTGTTCAGTTCATGAAATTATGTTATTCCATAATTTCCGGTCATATGTGCAAACTTATGCCATAATTTCCTGCTCTTGTGAAAAATTCTCCCCCCAAAAGTAGTTTAGATAATTTCCAACCTCAGTTGCATCCTGACTTAATGCAAAGTCAACGGATTCCCAACTTTAAAGGTTTATAGTGTGTTGAATTCTAGTGACCAGGGGGAGAGGCCTCTCTGGGGCAGACTCTTAGAGACAAACTGGCCCACAAGGATACATGAAGGAGAATATTCGTTCTCTTGAAGGGTAAGAAAAAGACTATGGATGAAAAGGAGCCTTCCTGCATGAGTTCACTGTTCCAACAGACCTTTCTGCTTTGCCATCTGTCCAAGGACCATGGTTATAATAATTGGCTTTTTACAAAAACCAGGACCATCAAAAGCCCTTGTGGCCTAAAATATTTCTTCTTTTCAACTTCAAAAACAGATGGAATGGAGCCAATTTTATGAGGACTTTTTTAAAAAGTAAAATGATTAAAAAATTTTTTACTTAGCACTTTATCAATAGGGCTTTGCTCATGAATGAGATCTTATGTGGAAAATTTCAAAAGGAATAAAATAAGGAAAGATTCAGACTTCAGTATCCGGCCTGGTCACTACGACAGGAGGCCCAGTGAATCACAGGGCAAGACAAGCCCAGTTTTTAAGTGTTGGAACCAGAGTTCAATGGAGAATGTTAACTAAGACCTGCCTCCTCGGCTGAAGGAGTTTGGGGTTTGGAGGAATTACAGCAGCTGCACTCCTTTTCCCAGAATTCTGCCGGGCCTAGCCTCCACACCAGAAGTGTGCACTGCGTCAGCTATGATCAAGTGTCATCAAAAACTGGAAATCAGGAAGGTGTGCTTGTATGAGAAGACAGGAACCATGACAGTCTTCTCTTTAGTACAAACATAACCTTCTAATGAAGCCAGAGAAAAGCATGAAACGCTTTGGAAAGAAGACAAGGCAAGTAACTTTTTCAAGTTATTTACTCTTGAAAGGGGGTATTTTCATTTTGTTTCCATGGCATCTAATGCACTCAATGAAAGATTATCTATAAGCGTTCATCTCTTCTTTTGTTGTTAGTTACAAACACGTTAATAAATAAACAGTAATATTTGGGCATTTGGAGACCAGGTGGAGAACTCTATTGCTTTGGCCCAAACTGACCTCTGCCTTTATTCTTAACACAAGGCTGACCTCCCCTGGGAAACGCCCTGGAGAGAAGCTACTCCCTCCTCCCACTATTTCCCTGGGAGGGAGGCCCCCTTCTTTCCCCCACACAGGAGGCTATAATTTTCAGGAATTTTCTACCTCCCCCTGGAAGACCAACAGGAAAATCCCATCATGCTCTGTATCTTCAATCACCTCAGTCACCAGAAACCCAACACTTCTAGAACAAACCCAACACTTCTACCCAGAAAACGATTCC